GTGTGGATGTAGGTGTGGGTGGGTGGGTGTGGATGTAGGTGTGGGTGTTGTTGTGAGTGATCACAAGATTCATATCCACACCCCACTCACATCCACACTCACACCCACACCCACACCCTGCTGAAGGGTCGCACTAAATGGGGAATTGTGGCTTTTGGTGCTATATTTCTAATTGCACGAAACATTTCGATTGCTTAGCAATCATTTTTATAATTAAATGTGCGTGAAATGAGTAGGGCGAATATTTTCACACATTTTAGCATATTTTGAAAAGAGAAAAACAATGTTTACATATATAGATAGACTAATGTATGGGGCAATAGCTCTATAAGCCATTTGACGGTAAAAAGCTTTTTTCATATATAAAACTCAACCTAATCAAAATATAAATTTGATACTCTTAATCAGCACGCAAAACTGCATATAAGTGATGTGCTGCTGAAGCTATTTGAGGAAAGAACTTTTTTTTCGAATCCTGGAGAGGCCCAGGGGAAATGTCTCACTTTGAAATTTTCCAAAACTCGGTCGTAGGAAACACTTCTAGTGGCTCCTTGATACCTCTCAAATAGATAAAAGCGAAAAAAATCGTGGACAAAAAAAAATGGGCCTATTGCAACATGTCCTTTCCACATTTAATTGTAATGCATTCGCGTATGTAAATATTAGTGTATATTTTTTCATCGTAACGACAGCACATGCAAAGAGAAGCCAAAAAAAGGAGAATATTGAAAGAACGAAATAGATACAACGATGAGCGTACTGATGAGAAAACACTACCAACCTGATGAAAATGTCATGCTTCGCTGATTCACGTAAAACATATTTAAATGAGAAAAAACAAAGTAACTTCGTCAACGATAAATACGAAGCAAAATTGATTGCAAACACACAAAACAAACTCGCACACTCCAACATTACTCAATATGTAAGTACGTTTAATTTCTAACATTATTAGACTATTGGTCAAATTCAAGCTGAAAGTCCAGAATAACTACCAAGGTCGAACGATACGGCTGCTTTACGGATCGTATTACGGCCGTCACACTTGATCCAGTAATACAGACCGTACTATAGTGATTTTTTACCGTATATGGCACCGTGTACGGTACCGTAGTACTGTGTCAAGTATACAAGGTAGTACGGGCCATTTACGGCCGTAAACTAGCCGTTTTTTCATCGTTTACTGTCCGAAAACGGCCCGTAACGGATATTCGTTTTGATCGACCTGGGTGTGGGTGGGTGTGGGTGTGGATGTGGGTGGGGTGGAGGGGTTGCTGTGGGTGTGGAGTGAGGATGGGTGTATGGATACGAGTGTGGATACGAGTGTGGATGTAGGCATTATTATCTTCCTCGCAGCCACCCCACCCCATATCTACACCCACCCTCAGTTTTTAGAGAATTAGTAACAATAGGTATATCGTGTTTCACAGTTTAATCTCATAGGGATTGGGTTAACAGCTTTTTCCTATGGATTGCAATCAATCGATATCATGTTACTTCTGTTTCAGTTAATGTCTGAAACTTCGAAATTGATCTCTTCTGATATATCGATTCTTTCAAAAAGACTACATAAGTCTGTTTGTAAATGAGTCAAAGGTTTCGTGATTCACTTCTATGACTATTTCTGCCAAATTAGTCAGATCTTCCGAGAAGAAACGAGATCTAGTAATGCTTTTAGCAGAGCATGCAAAACTCGCTAAGATATAATCAACGTTATTGTTGAAATATCTGCAGATATTTCGATGAATTCTATTTCTTAGTATCAAACTCTAGGCAAATGGATCGCCGTAAAATTTCTCTCCATTCGTTGCAATGAAGATGTGGGTATGGGTGCAGATTTTCTCTTATATGACTTGCACAGCTACACCCAGAACGAAAAGAAAAAGAAAATAGTTATTCATTTCAATCAGTATTTATTGACATTGTAGGTTGACAGTCTCTAAATTTAACTATTCACCAAAGTAACTGATTACTGGAGTGCACCCGTTTTATATGTACATTTTATTTGGTACCATTATGATATGATAAACATATATATTTTTTTCTCTAGATGCTTGCATCAATGACGCAAGACACTTTGATTGATGAAAATGATAGTATTAAGAGAAAATTATCATCATCTGCAATACGTTTTTCTACGCTATCAACATTAGAACCAGAGGATTCTCATTATCTGATTCAACAACAATATGGAGCTCGTTGGGGAATATTTAAATTTGAAGATTCTCTTGGTAGCTATTCTAGTGAGGTTAGTATGATTAATTGATTCATATTAAAGCGAATATTATCTTTTTGGATTTTTTAAAATATGTTTTAGTTATTCAATTAGATAATGTTTAATTTGATTTTTCTAGGATCGACCATTTCTTTACGTTGATGATAATATTGATTTACATGTTCTATATGATTTCATGATCAATGAATGGAAATTACAAACACCTAATATAGTCATACCTATTCTTAGTTCTATCACACGTCATAAATCATTCAAAAATCTTAAAATGGTTGAAGCATTAAAAAAAGGCATTAAAAATGTAAGTAAATTAGATACAGATGTACATGTGTTTGCAAAAAAGATTGCACATTTTGTTTTATGACTATTTATTTCTGTGTAAATCAATTTGACTTATTCGCTTTCTCAAATGATAGATCATAAAAGTAGTATAATTCAAAATTTTGTTCATCCATTTTTGGAATAAATTATAAAAACATATCATTTATAAACAATGTGCAATTTATTACAATTGAAATGCATTTCATATTGAAATTGCCAAAATGGATTATATGAAGAAAATTTCTGAAAAATCATACACAGCAGTTTTCAAATATTAATAGACTTTGTCAAAACTCTTTTTTTAAGAAATCTATCTTAAAGAGAATAAAATTCTATGATGAAGGATGAACGAATTTCTGAAGAACTTCTTTGAAAAGGTTATAAGCGGAACAAAAAATGAAAAAAAAAGGAATAGTTATAGTATTACCAAAGGAAAACTTATTGCTTTGTTTCTTGCGATGTGTACAACTTTTTGAAGCAGAGTCAAAGAAAATACTTTAGTCCACTCATTTTATTTCAGCATTTTGGGCTCTTTAAGATAGGACTATTAGAAAAATCTAATTTTCATACAATATTCTGACCTGTAAAGCTATATTAGTTATTCAAACTATTATTTAGATTTAAGTTGATTACTTGATATCGTAGAAAAAAATAAGTTGAACTCATATTTTTGATCAGTACTATAGGATTCAATTTTTAAATATATTTTATTTAAAATTACTTGAGTTCTTCGATTGTTGTTTTCATTATCTGCTTTCAACGATATGTTTTACGTCTAGTTGAATATTTTCTGTCTAATTAATATTCGGATTGTTTACCTGATTGATTCATTATTTGTGATGTGATTTCATTGATAAATTGTTTATCAATATATAGAGCGTCCAGAAAATAACTAAATAAAGAAAAGTTTGAATATCTTCGTCATATTTCGATTATATGGGTTGATATTTTTAGCACTAATAAAGGAATGTTCAGAAGAAAACCATTTTCATAAATTATTTTTAAGTAGTATAATTGACTTCCACAAAGATTTGTCACATTTCATGATTTACAAAGAAGTAATCTTGTAATTTTCTCAACAAATTCTTGCTGCTTATGGCTGAAACTTTCAGAGTACTCTAAGTAATAGGAGATACATCTGTAGCATAGGTATGAGTCTAAGCAACACTAGTGCGAAGAATAAATTTAAAAAAAAATTGAATGTCGTTCAATCTTGACTCAGAGAATAAATATATTGTTTTTTCAATAAATTGTGAAAGATTACAATTATTTCTTAAAGTTACTTGTACATAGTTCAAAACAATTTTTGATATTGTTTCTCTTATGAATATAAACTATGAATACTATTTGATTAAGGATAATGATATCAATCCATATGGTCGAAATATGCCGAAGATATTCAAATAGTTTTTTTTCATTCAGTTACTTTCTGAACATCTTATATTACTGATTATATTATGAGGTTGCGATCATGTTGTAAAATGTTGTTTTTCTCAAAATTTAACATAAGTAATATCTAATTACTACGACAAACATATTCATCAACAACTTCTATGTATCCTTCAGTAGTGTAGAAGCCGTTAAGTCGTTTCAACTATTCAACTTTCAACTTTCAATATTCAACTTTCAACTATTCAACTTTCAACTATTCAACTTTCAACTA